TGTAGTGAAAATGCTTAGATAGTTTTGTGTCTGTTCGTAGTGTTTTTTTTTTTTGCTTATAGTCGCACCCTAGTTTCAAGGTAATCGAGGCGGGTTATTGCTCCGCAAATCGATGTTTAACTTATAAAAACTATAATGAATATAGAGCGTACTTATGTATGTGTATGTTTGCCTTTATTTAAACGGAGATAGGCAAGTTTAAATAGTGTTACATGATGTAAGATGTTTGCCATAATCAAGTAATAAATAGAAATCAGTCGGAGATAGGAAGCTTAGAAGGAAGCGAGACACATACCGACAATCAATAAAGTTTAGGTACCTACAAAGAGTCTTTTGCAATACGAGCAACTGTTTTTAAATATTTTATTTCTCGCAAATTCTTTATAAAAACATGGGCAATACTCTAACAAAACCCAAAAATCAGAGAAGGTTTTTTGTACAAAACTAAACAAAATTCTGCAAATTTTCAATTTTTTAACTAAAAATTTTTGATTACATTTTTTAGAAATATTGAGTATGCAGTTTTGCAGCCCATTGAATTTTAGTAAAGTGTTAATTTGAAGAAGCCACGACTTACCGTTGATTTTTGGCAGTTTTTTTTTTTTTTGTTGAAGGTCTTCATTTCTCCATACAACGTATGCTGGCATTATTTGTATTTGTTATATGGAAGAAAATGTGCAAGAGCCTCAACAAAAAAAAATTGCCAAAAACCAACAGTATGTTCTGGCATATTCAAACTTAAACTTAATTATACTAATAGACAAAGTTCAGTTGGGTCTTCGCAACCCCAAGCATCTAGAATTATAGCTAGCCTAGGATATTTAGTCACTTTTTGTGTGATTTCTATGCCATTACAACAATAACTAGTGCAATGTTGAAGATTGAAATTTATGGGAATGAAATCGAAATGAAAAATGTTTGTAAATGTGAAATTCGCGTAATACTTATTGTTGTGATCATACGAAAAAAAAACAGGAAATACTCACCATGACAATATCACCATAGAAGCAACAGCAGCTGCGACGTTCTGCAACACTGTCCTCCTCGGCATTGAAACAGTTAACATTTTCGCGAATTTAGACTTGACCGCTTGCATTTTGATTTTTTATTTATTTTTTTTTAATATTTATTTTTTTTTTGTAGCGTTGTTGAATTTTTACTTTAATTAGTAATTAGATTAATTTATGTGGATACATATGATATTCCTGGGCAATTTTTTATTTTTTTTTTCAAACAAACACTTTCTACGGCACAACAACAATCCTAAGTATAAATCATATCGTAATTGCAGTGTACCACACAACTATATATTTTGTCTTGTTTTTTTTTTTTTTTGTTATTTTTGATAATCAGTAATATATTTTTCGCATACTTCTAGTATTTATTTTGTTGCACGAATATGTAGCACCTTATCGGTCAGCGGCATTCACACAATGCCTCGGGCGAATCTTGCGATGTCACTTTCGTTTCTAAATAGAAATTGAAAAAATTGTGAATGAAATTTGATGTATGTATGTATAGTACAACATTTGAAATATATACATATAAATTTTTGCAAGAATAATGTTTAAGGTATATAAAAAAGTATATATTTCTGTACATTTGTAAACATGAACGAGAAAAACTCGAATTTTCGTTGAATTAGTATTTGCGTAGAAATATTAAACAACGACAAATATGAAGAAAATAAATGCGAATAAATTTCAAATGACGTTTTCCTTAGCAAAAATTGTATGCCTTTCATGGCAATTGCAAATGCGTGAGTTTATGTCCATGCAGGAATTTATGCGGATTATACTAAACAAAGCCCTCCTTTTGGGAAATTAGGATTAGTCTGCAGGGTCGTCCCTCGGCAGGCAATGGCAAACCTCCGAGTGTATTTCTGCCA